GAAAGATATAGGACATAAATGTCCCAACAAAAAAAACCTTTTTGGTGCAGAATTAAATTTCCCCTCCGTTGTTCTGCCTCTTTTTCCACAGAATCAACTACAAGAACGTCACACATGTACCATAAAACAACAAACATAATGTATAAAGTAGATTTCACAAAGAACTTTGACAGGTTTTAACACTGACATGAATCTACTCAGCAATGTCAAATTGAATCAACAAGATCAGTTTACTCATCACAGAAAAAACACTACCAGTAAATAGCCTGTAAAATATTATTGATGGCTCTGGAGGGAGCTTTTGAGTGTTACCCTGATGATGTCGTCAGGATTATTTTAGTTTGGGTTGGAGGCTAAATATTTTTAACAGAAAGTGTAGTTTACAAACTGGAAATGTGAACGCTATTCAGTTGCATTATCGGAAATGTTTTATCTAGTATTTCTGGCACTTCACCCATTGGGACTACAAGCCGGGTTATCTAAGCCTCTGTTGTTTTGAGTTTGATCTTTCTATTAAAAGAAATATCTCCAGTAAATCCCCCAGACTTACAAAAAATGTAATTATAAATAGCTGGAATCCCTCTCTGAACTTTATTACTGTAACTTGACCAACTACTACATATATTGCATTGCACTTTGTGCATTTTGCTGTTCCCATCTTGCTTTATGGTGTTTGTTGTCATTTGTGACTGTGTTCAAACACTGTATGTGCAGGTATAAGAATGCTTCTTCTATTTGTCATCCACACTCCGTCAAGATTTCTGTTGTATCCTCTCTAGTTTCAATATGGTTGTTTACCAATTTGCTCCAGAGTGAGATTCTACTATAAGATTCTATTGTAAGATTTATAAGCTTTAGACTGAAGTAAAGTGAAAACTCGACATTGTGCTGCTTGAAATCTTCGGTCCTGCAATTTAAAAAAACAAGGCTCATGCCTTGATGAGATCAGTTGAGCAGCAGGAACACCAATTTTAGTTATTGCACATATTTTCAGCTTCAGCTCATGTTCTGTTGCTTCCTGCAGGTCAGCAAATGAAGTGCTTGTGATATCAGACTCATGCCAGCAGTAAAGTGTCTGAACAATTCCCTCCATTTACGCAGGGCTGGAGAGGGTTGATGAGGAGCTGCACGTTCTCTCCCTAAATTATCATGCTTCAACAGCCACCACACAGATTTAACACAATGGACCTCAATGCAAGTTGGGAACTGTTCAGCAGGACTGTGAAGGTTCATTTCTTGGAAGGACATAATAAAAGTTACTTTCAGATCACATACTATTGCGGACTACTACTGCAGTTCATAGTGATAAAAACTAACAGCTGTTAGAAATGATAAACTGTACCTTGTGACACCAAAACAGTCAATCTTACTCATTTTACTTAAAAAAGATAATACTGGGATTATTTATATCTATCTACATAGGATCATTGATGTAATAATGGTCTAAATCCTGGTGCTCCTCCTCTGCTGGATGGAGCATCTCTTCAGACTTTATCAGGAAGTGACATTGTTGGTTGTGTGTCAGTAAGTTTTATTAGCAAAATGTCTAAAAAGAAAAATGACTGGTTCCACAGTAAAATGGTGACTTTGACTGATATAATATAAACAACTTGATTGCAACATTTGGACTGTTAATGAGTAAACATGCTGTATTCAGATGTACTGCTATGTTATGAGGCTAAATCACAGTGTAGTAATAACGTTGCCTCATCAGCTTCTATGTTTATGGACCTACTGGGCCTCCATAATTACACTAAGATCACATTAGTCTTCATTCCAATGAAATTGCACTGAGCAGGGATATCATAGACTGTAACAACAGCTGTGCACTAAATAATAAACATATCCATTTCCAAATACAATGCATCACTGTTTTATTTAGGTGTCGACCTAAGCTTGCAAACAGTAAACACATTGTTGCATGAGCGTACATTTTAGTAAGAGACAGATGGAGCAAATATTTACAGAGATCCACGCTCGAATCCACTTTACTCTGCTTGAAAACTTATCTTAACCTGCAGTCTGCTCCAAACCCATGTGACTGAGTCAGATGTGTGACAGAGGAACCAGTTCAGTTCAGTTATTCTGTGATTTTATTTCACTCAGCCAACCTGTGCTCTCATGCTGGCTACCTGCACCTGTTGGCTCATCGGTGGGGACACAGAAGCTGACAGTTTGCAGCTAAAGTGAGCCATTGTGACAAATAATCCTCTCCTTGCTCTGTACTAATTAAAATGGCTCCTAGATACTGTGTGACACTGCTGTAGACCCCTGCTTCTAAAGTTTGGATCACTGTGCTCCGCGGCATTAGCAGCATACAGCAGTTAGCAGGGTAAGCTAAGCCCGAGGAAGATCAAATCAACACATGAGGTTTCTTCCTGTTTGTTCGCAGTGATGATGCAGACAAAACTGATTTCTTTGTTACTTTAAAAATGACTCTCTCCAACTCCTCCAATAAAAATACTTTTAGTCATTGAGGGAGGCATTTTTCCTTAGAAGAGACTGTTCCATAAAAGTTGTCATGATGAGATCAGCAGCCTCTGTGAATCACATGAGAAATTTGGTCATGCATCATAAATATTATTAGAAGATAAGACATGGCAAGTCTTTGGAGATAGTGATTGAGTAAAGTAAGTCTATAATGTCTTTCCGTTTGTGCACTCACATTCTTTTACATTAAGATAAAAAGGCCATGGATAGCAACATTCAGTTTGCAGCATCATACAAATGTTTGAGTCAATCTGCTCAACACAGGAAACCTCCGTAATGTAGAACAGTCATAGTGATGGAGACCACTGATACAGACCACCCAAAAAAGGGCCGGGAGACAGAGAGCTCTTGTTTACGAGAAAGTGCTTGGATTTAAACATCAGCTATGATTCCGTTCACTCAGATATCACATAAATCAGATTTTTAGAAAGATTCTGTAAAAGGACCAGTAAACTACAAATCATCATCATCTCAACACTTTCCAATATGGATTTGTCCATTTGGGATATCATGCCTCAAGGTTATGATGTGAACTACTTTAAGGTTACTTAACTAAATATAATTCATACGAGAGTATACTTTATTTTAAAGTGCTTGTAATAAACTTTAGTTAAGATGATATATTATATATAAGTGTATAATAACATTATGCACATGTTTATTGTTAGTGAGTATAAGACATTTATAAGCACGTACTGCTTAAGAAGAAAGGCCCTGTGAGTTTCTTATGCTTAAGATTATTATTATTAAATCTTTAATATTTTGTTATTATTGCTTTATTAAGATTTCTACATACTTTCTCATCCATTTACTAACTTAGCTTTTTGGGGGTACTGGATCTAATGTGGGAACAATGCTAATTAAGGTTAAAAAATTAATTATTATGCACTTATTAATGGTTAACAATGCCTTTTTAAATTTCTTTTGTTCAGGCTTTGACCTTTATTGGACAGTGAGGTGAAGACAGGAAAGGGGGGAGAGTATAGAGGGGATGACATGATGCACATGCTCTACCAGGTGCAGGTACCGCATCGTCACATGCTTAAGGTCAGTCATACACTTAAGGTCAATCAGACAATTGATACTATTAGTATAAGCATAAACACTATCATACAAAATGGCATGGGACAATATATAACAAATAAAGGAAGAGAGAAAGACAAAGAGTATAATTTTGGGTTTTAATGAGCCCTTTATGAGACTTTTTACAACTATTTCAGCCAACTTGTTACTGAATGCTCCTTAAACAGAATTGCACATTCTCACTTCATAAAGACCAACATATTTCAGGCACCTCCGCATTTCGGCATTCTTTCCAGCTCAGGAATGAATTGTAGCATTTACTTATCAGCAAGAGGTTGCTAAAATCTAGGAAAGTATCTAAAAGTAAGTTTGGCTCAGAGTGGCCACGAGTTGAGTGTGCCTGTTTGTGTTTCATCCACAGTGCTGGAAATGATATTGTAGCCTTGATGAAAGTCGGACAGGAGTTACAACCACATGAATGATTGAGGATGGAAACATAAATCATTCTCAGGGCAAAGACCTTCACTGTAGTCAAGGTGAGAGAAAGAGATCTATGAATGCGCTTGTCAGAGTGTTGATCTGTACATTTCCCACTCCAACTGGAGAGATGGTAAGTTTCACCAAAGTGTGTCCATTCAAAAACTGCAGTCCCATCTGCAATCAACTACAGTGCAGATGAAGGTGCGAAGAGCATGTTGTGTTTCTATCTGTATGCGATTGGTGTTGTTTTTTGCAACTTGTTTGTGAGTCTTGTTTGCATTTACATAGGTTTGTTTGCATGCGTCTTTCGTGCAGCTGAGCCCCGCTGTTTCCCACTGATACCAAGCTGGAGTTCAGTCCAGTATTGTGTTATTGTTCCTCCAACACAAAGCATGTGACCATTTGTCTTCATCTAGCTTCCTTTCTGGGCTTCCTCTCCACAGCATCAAAGCTTCACAGGCTTATACTTTTCACCCACTCTTCATTTCAACCTGTACTCAGTCATACTCAGGAAATACAGCAGGGATATACAGGAGCTTGTAATTACATTTTTGGGAGCCTCTTGGTCTGAATAAAATCACATAATTGATCACATTAAAGTGAAAACATGTAGAAGAATGTGTGAGTTGCACAGCAGTAAGTTAGTGTATATTTGACAATGGCTATAAGATGCACCTGACATATTAATTAATGATATTCTCCTCCTCAGGACTCAGTGTGTCACTCCCATAGAGGGCGAGCTTTCAGTCGCACATGTGACTATGAAGGAACATAAGTTTTTTTTTATTATTAATATCTCCCTGCGTAAATGTCACCATATCTAAACTGGGGTTATTTCTGGATATTTCTGGAATAAATATTTACTGTCTGCAGCCAGATAAAGAGAAAGCATGATGGCGCAATTATGAAAATGACTCAGATTCAGCCGGAAACGACACTATTTATGACTAATTCTGTTTATTTTTCCGACCTTTGACACATGTCTGACACTGAGGAAAGCAGCTCTGTTAATCCGGGCTTTGGGAACCTGCTTGTGACTCATTCATAGGCTACCACCGCGGCCGTCCCGTCCCTTCGCCAGCAGGACTGCAGGGGCCAATGCCATGCACTTCATTCTCGGAATCACCGCCTCGGGACCGTATGGAGACCAAGTTCTGCGTCTGGCGCGCAGCTCTATGTCCTGGACCAGATTCTAAAATCATTCAGAGCAGCAGACACTACCTCTGCCCGTGTGGGGATATAAAACATGCGAAACCAAAGTCAGGGTGTCTCAGTCGGTGCCCGCAAACTCAAACAGAGAACTCCCTCGACGTGTTCAGGCTGTTTTCTCCGCTAAGCGCACACTCCTCCAGCGCCTGTGAACATGCCTCCGGGTCTGCCTGCCTCTAAAGCCCTCTACATTGGGATGGAGGTGGTGATCGCCCTGTCGTCGGTCATCGGTAACGTGATGGTGGTCTGGGCTGTGCGTATTAACCGGTCTCTGAGAGACACCACGTTTTGTTTCATCGTCTCCCTGGCCTCGGCTGACATTGCGGTCGGGGCTCTTGTCATCCCGCTCGCCATAACCATCAGCATCGGACTCCAGACGCACTTTTACAGTTGCTTGCTGGTCGCCTGCACTGTGCTCGTCCTCACTCAAAGTTCAATCCTGGCACTGCTGGCCATAGCCATCGACCGCTATCTGAGAGTCAAAATACCCATGAGGTAGGCACAAAGGTGAATTCTTCTAGTTTTCAGTGTGTTGTCTCATTTACACGCCTTTGTGTCTGGACCGCTGCTTGGACCAAGGGCGCCCACAAGAGCGGTTGTTACATGATTTTAATTTGAGCTCCAACCAGAAATGACTGTAATATCTAATGTAGATGTGTGTCTAATGATATGAATTCATTTACAGTATCATTAATCTTGGTCTACATTAATCTGCTGTGGCATCTCTGTTATCTGTACTGGAAGTAACAATGAGTCAGTAATGATGTCAGTGTTAAAATTCGTTAGAAATTATACTAAGACTGTTATGTTGAAATTATATTTTATTTTTTGATTCATTATTTATTTGTGTACTTCCAGCACATCATTTTACCCATGATATCAGCTGTTAACTGGAACAAAGTAAAACATATCATGATCAAAAAGGGGTAGAAAGAAGAAAGAAACCCACTTTTTAAAATAATTAGATAACACAAACACCGATGGTCTGACTGTGAACTTTAAGGTTAATTGATTGTTAAATATTTGTCTCAAAAAATAATGAGGCTAATGATTTTAGTTGCTTTTTTTGAATTGTCTGAATGTTTTTTCAGCTGTAAATATATTTGTAGTAGACATGGAGTTTGTATAGAAAGATAGATAGAAGGAGTTACAGATAGATACAGATATATAGATAAAAATACTACTACTATTTTGTTGTACAAAAAAGACAGTTTATTCTATTTATATATTATTTACATTGGTATGCTCCAGGTCAAAAGAAAGGTCAAGGCCATTTGGTACTTTTAAAGCTGTTGAATTTCACATCTGTGGGGAGGCAAGCTGTATTTCAGTGTCCAGCCTGAGCTTAACATATACAAGAAGCATGCAGAGGTCCAATGTGTTGTACTTCTTTCTTTATTCCTTCTGATCTGATCTGCTTTGTTAAAAACTAGCTTGATGATAAACCGATATTTCTGTTGCATGGTAACAGAGATTTTCTCCTCTTGTCTTGCCAGACCCATAATTTTAGAGAAAACTTGAGTTTCCACTTTAAGTTGGCTCATTTAACAATAAGCCTGGTGAGTCTGGCAGAGAATGCATGATTGGTCAATAGGCTCATGGTGGCTGGTTGATGGATTGCATAATTTCTCAAGCTGGCACCCAACGCACACATAGAAACATGCACACACACACTGCACTCTATCACTCAGAGAACACAGGTTGCAGTGAAGCAATGCAATACACTCGAGCAATAAATATATATTGTTTAGTATTATCCCAATATTACAGGCTTAACTATTATTTATCAGTGTGCTGCTGGGTTTCTCAGCCCTTTTCATCACGCAGTGGTGAACTTGTGTACTGGATGTAGTGACAGTTCAAGGTAACGGACAGACAATATTAATATTGTATCGTAATGATTATAATCTTTTAAAAACTAGTTTAAACCTCAACAACAACAGCAGAAAAAGTGGGGTGCTTCGGCTTAAAGAAGAATAAAAAATAAAAAAAGAAGAATATGTTATAGTCACAGATTAGAGAAAATTTACTTCCATCTCACTGCTGATGCATTTGGCCAGATACTTAAAACACCAATTGTGTTTTTACTGTCTCATGGTAAGTGATAATATGAGCGAGAAATTGAGTCCCCCTCCCTAAACCACCCCTGTGACTCTAGAGGGACACAGTTTAACAGGCACTGATTGCTTTTTATAGCGGAGGTGGTTTGGAAGCATACTGCCATGATAAGGGTGGTGGTATGTCTGAGATTTGAAAATGCCCTAAGTATTGCCAGTGTGCTTAGCTGAAGGATTGGATTTGCAGGTGGGAAACAAGGATTTAAATTTCACAGGAAAGTATAGATAGATGAAGAACAGTCATATCCATAAAGTAGTTTTTGGCATACTGAAAGCTGATCTGTATGCAGACACGCAGCCGAGCTTTCTGCCAAGCCGAACTGTAGAGAGAGTTGAGATAAAAATTGTCGTCACATATGGGAAGACCTACTCCCTCCAGAAAGAGTCTCTTTGAACATCCTTTGAGTATTCATTCATTCATCCTGTGTTGTGTCTGCCTCACCCTGAACTCCTTAGTGTGTGTGTGTGTGTGAGACAGAAAGTAAAAGGCAGCAACAACTGGACAAAGACGAAACAAGAGAAAAAGAGAAAGATATGACAGTTTGGTTCTGGCACATATCACAGTGTGTGTTTCTGTGTTTGCGTCAGCGTTAGAGAGGTAAGCCAGGGACTAGGCATGATAAGAGAAGAGAAAAAAATGGCTGAGAGTAAAAGAGTTAGCCGCTGAAATGATTCATTCACCCCTTTCGCCTGATTGAGTCAGCACTTACTTTATAGAAATAAAGGTTGAATTAGGAAAATCAACAGTCCAGTCTGCCACAGGAATCTTTCATGTCTATGCGACAAATGACTAATTCATGGATCTGTCCAATAGCAACAACTGAGTGGCAGAGATAGGACATCCTATGAAAATACCAAAGAATTGGACACTTTTATGTTGGGAAACAAATCCCACAGTTCCCTTTTAAGCAGCAGATGTCTCAGCTGACTCATCTGACATTTGAATACAGAAATGTTTTCCAGGAAAATAAAATAAAATAGAAACTCAGACACAGCAATCAAAAAGAAATTGGAATTACAGGACAAAAAAACTGGTACAATTTATAATATATAGTCCAATATGACAACCCCACAAACTACTAGAGCAAGACTATGTGACTTATGAAAGAAGAAATATCACATTCTTCCTTTTAAATTGAACACACTCTAGGGTTAACTACAGCCTTACTTGGTCTAGTATGACCAGTAGCTTATTATGGCTACAAAATGTTAGCTAATGTTAGCACTATTTAGCTAGATACTGCCCTATAACTGACATTACTCAGCCCGTTTACTGACTTTATGACTTTATTACTACTGTTGTTTTAGCATGTACCATTATTCTATAATTGTAACTTGTGGCAACAGTGGCTACTATTCAACAAAAGTTACATAGACTTACTTTAGTAGTAACAACACCCCAAAATACAACCACTACAAAAATGTAACATTATTACAAGGTCCGAGGTTCATTTATTTATCTACAAGACAAGCTTGTACAATGAAATGCAAGTTATAGTCGTTTTATGATACAAAACAAAACATATGCAGGCTATTATATTCTATTATTGCTTTACAAAGGGAATTTGTCTTGTAAATCTCTCAATGTTTCAGATGTTTCATTGGGCTGAATTAAACAACAAGATGTTTCTGTTGTTTTGCCTATTTTTTAAGGTGTCCAATGTAACATTTTAATAACACATACATTACATAAAGCATATGAATCAGTAGTTAAAATACTTGAAGATTAAAAAATAAAATTAATTTAACAAAAATTGTGTATCATGAAAATAATAAAAAAAAACAGCACACACACTATCTGTTATGATAGTCTTTTCTGTTTTTTTTATCAACACTTCTATATATCTTTTCCTTTGTTGCTAAAGCTACAAGCGTGTGGTGACCCCTCGGCGAGCTGGCACGGCCGTGTTATTGTGTTGGCTGGTGTCCATCATAGTGGGCCTCACGCCCATGTTGGGCTGGAATAACCTGCAGAGTCTCCGTGACAATGGCTCCCTGATCACTGATGACCTCTTGGTGACCTGTGAGTTTGAGACAGTCATCAGCATGGACTACATGGTCTACTTCAACTTCTTTGGCTGGGTGCTGCCCCCTCTGCTCCTCATGCTGGTCATCTATGTTGAGATTTTCTACATGATCCACAAGCAGCTGAACAAGAAGGTAATGACTTCCTTTTCTTGTGTTGAACACTTTTGGTCACTTTGATATGCAGCAACCAAAATACAATTATTTTGCTATTAAAACAGAGTTAATGTGACTTGATAAGACTAAAGTTAAATGTTTACGCTGATGATCTTCTCCTTTATCTCTTTGTAGGTGACAGCTAGCCACACAGACCCCAGCCGTTACTTTGGCAAGGAGCTCAAGCTGGCCAAGTCGCTTGCACTTGTTCTTTTCCTCTTCGCAGTCAGCTGGCTCCCTCTACACATCCTCAACTGCATCACCCTCTTTTGCCCTGGTTGTGATAAGCCAGTGTTCCTCATTTACATTGCCATCATCCTCACCCACGGCAACTCGGCTGTGAACCCCATCGTTTACGCTTTCCGCATCAAGAAATTCCGCACAGCATTCCGGAAAATCTGGAAACAGTATGTGCTCTGTCAGGACCCAGTCGGTCGTCTTCCTCAAAGAGGGAGTCAGAGAGGACAAAGTCATGAGAGGAGGCTGAGGCACAATGATGATGACGATGATGACGTGTGACCTTTGGCAACTTATTGGATTGCTGTGTAACTGCTAAGTTTCACTCCACTGGTTCACAGAATGGAAAATAAGTTATTTTCATGCTTGAGGAATTACCAGTCAAAACGACATTAATAGCATCAAAGGATGTCAGAGGGATGAAATAGATGAGGGAACTTCATCGTCGACTAACTGATTTCCTCCATCCAACAAAATGTCTGAGGACAAGATGACGATATGGAGATCGCATGGAGATGGGATAGACATCCTAAATCAGACTTTGATTTAAATAAGACTTATATATTGTCTATTTTCCCACCGGCTGACAAAATGATGATGATGTCGTATGGGATAAGGGGCTTCTCATCCGTTTCAACACCAACCTGTTGAACTTGAATCAGTAAGTGTATATCTGTAGCACACGTGGTACAATAGAAGTGTATGCTCTACTGCATTTTTGACCTGAACTAAAACTCATGGCCTTTTTCATGTGAATAATCTCAAATTGTTAAGCATTGTATTATGCTCTACATTTACATGCTTAGTTCTGTGGCCTTATGGACAGAAAATCTAATGAAGATGAACTAGGCATTGTGTTAATTGTATGAATCTGGTAAACCAGTGGTGGGGAAACAGGGAGTTTGCGCAACCAACTTGAGATGGACCAGGAGACAGGACACAGTATGCTGGCTGCATGGATGTCAAAATGTGAAATGTGCTCACTTGGAATTAGAACCCAGGATCTTTGGTGCAATGAACCTCTGTTTTACCTACTGCGCTAATGTCATTAGATTCATAGCCTTTACAGATGTGTGGTGCAATCCAGTGCATGTGAAGGTTAAGTTTTTTGACTTTTCAGAGACCATTTGACTGACAGAATAACTAGTACTAGCTAATAGTTGTAGCCAAAAAAGCATCCATGCTAAAAGAAAAATTACTTGACCTATAGTAACTATATAACAGTAGCTGAATAATTTTGTTTGAATGGAGGACTGTGAATATAAAGAATGTTGGAGCTTCTCCAGTTGATTATTTTTACCCTACAATGTACCTCTGCCAGGCACTTTCCACTGCTTGCAGGTGGGAACCTTAAAACATTTCCCCCCTGTTTCTTTGTAATAAAGTAGGTATATCAATGTAGCATCATTACATCCTCCCTGTCATTTTTGTTGCAGGGCCAACTGACCAGTATTGCCCTTCAGAATGAATGAGATTTGACAAGAAAAATACATGTTGACACGGGACTGCTGACACATATAATACGTACTGTATGTAACTAATAGATGTATAAAGGTTAATGGCGGCTACTGTATAAAATTCAACTCACTGAGCATCTCACTTACATGTCCTCTTACAGCTGTGGACTGATTGTGCAGATTGGGAAATCCTCCCTCAAAACATGTCATTTAATTTTTTTTTACAAAATAGATAGAATAGAAATGGAGACAAGAATGTAAGCAAAAATGTAACAGCATAGTGAGCCCTGATTTACATTTATAACGCTGTATGTGCATTAGCAGGTGGAAGCATCAGGATTCACTCTGTGCTTTGTGAAAGAAATAGCATCTCACTTTCTCTCCACGCTTCTCTGTATCAAGGCTAAAGCCATCAGTGGTGGGAGGTTATTTTTCGTCTGCACACTTCGATTTTCTGTCTCACAGCAGAGGTCTGGCTCATGTACGAATAAGTGAGTAGGTTAGGAGGGTGTGGGAGTCCAGGGGTGAAGTGATGGAAGAATTGTTCTGTTTACAAGGGAACCAGAAGGCAAGAGTGCAGCTGAGGAACTTATCAAGAGTTTACATCTCTCAACATTAAGGCCAGCCAGATGCTTTCCCAACAAATAAAGAGGCTTGTTAATGTGACCCTGTTGAGACCTCTGACTTAACCTGCTGTAAAATTGTGTGTTGCAACATATACACAATACACCAGTTATGGTTCTTTTAAATTGAAACACATGCTTAAAGGCATGCACAGTGTCTGTTGGAAACATCCACCCTATAAGTAAGAGAGAATAGATTCCAGCTCTTTCTGGGGTCAAAGTAACTTTTCCTCTTCAGCCTGTAAAGCCTTTAGGATCCTTCCAGGACTCCTCCGTCATGTCTCACAGAGTTAGTGTGGAGTTAATGCAGACTGCCAAATAGTAGCACCGAGAGAGGTGTTACTGTGCAAACAACTCGACTTCGGTAGTGCTCGTGAATATCTGCTCAGCCAAGAATGCAATGGCTCTATATTACTCCAAATAAAATAAATACATGACAAGCAAATTAATCTGCAAATTCATTGTTCTGTGAAGTGGGTAATAGGTGTGTGTTTTGTGAAGACTGTCAGCAAGAATTTCTCACATATTTATGAGCAGCCTTGACTTTCCACCTTCTTCACAGAGGTGAAAATCTATTCAGATGCCTTTACATCCCAGTGTGGACTGGAGCCACAAAGTTGCAGGCTAAAATTTGGTTCAGACGTTTTGGTTCTTCTATTTGTCCCTTACAATCACTGTGCATGATGTGTGACTGGTTTTAAAATATGGGTGGCATTTTTCACACTGGCATCAAGTCAGAATCAGAATCAGAATCAGAAATACTTTAATAATCCCCGTGGGGAAATGTGATTTACAGTGTCCAATGCTGCACTCTGCTGGTTACTGTCCAGTATTGAAACAACATTTGAGGCAACAGGGTGGTGGAGCAATCTTAAAGCAAGACACATGTAGTTATGATCTGTCTTCTACTATAGGTGCAAAACAAAATGCAGAAGCATTCTCATCTTATTTGTTTAACTAATTGATAAAGACTTCATTCGTCTTATAGAGAGCCAATGTCATCTAAATATTTTTCTACCTCTATATTTAGCTTTTTCCCCCCCTGTGATCCAGTACTGGAGAATATACCATTGTTTTAATAGATATACGTAACACGTGTAGGTTGTCAGTGCCAGATAAAAATACCACATTACTACAATTTAACGTCATCTATACAGACACAAGAATAACCCGTGCTTCCATCTCAAACATGTTTGGAGGGTTTTGATGGGTTTGTAGTGTTGAGAGGGTGATAGAAGAAGACCCAGTCACTTTTAAATTGGAGTCAATACTTGGAAATCAGCTATAACAAGGTTCAAGGTCTTTTTTACAAAAGCATTATGTTTGTGTATACAGATATTATATGTATACAGTATGTACATAGTAAAAGACTGACCTTTTCGAATCGAGATAGGCTTTCCTCTGCCAGGAACACAAAACACATTTGTTAGGTATAGCATGGTTCTCATATCTCTGGTCTTCTGCTGGCTTTATTCTCCTCCTGAATTTAACATTTCCAGTTCATCAATCTGAATAACAATGTTACAGTCTGGGGAGCATTCATGAACAATGTTCACTGCTTTCATTAAACTTCAACTGTGAGATAAAGAGGCAGATACTAGAGGCTATACTTGTACAGAAACATGATATAAAGCATGTTGGAACAGTGTGTGAACTGCATATGTGAAAATATTCATCACACTGCCCCTGGACTCATGGGGATACGGGGGGGTGTTTGCTGTATCTCTCAACATTAGCCTCTTTAACAATGATAAACAAAAAGAGATGCCAGATTTTTCACACGGTTGATCACTGAACTGCAAATGCTTATTTGCTGCAGCAGAAGTATTTGTACCCTGACAGTTGTTGTTGCTGTACATTATCCCGGTCTGAGTAGACTGGTTGCCTATTGACTGTAAAGTATAACACACTAACAGCATAATATTGACAGCAGCCACCTGTTTTACAGCACAGACACTCTCAGAGACAGAACACATAATCACAACTGATCGTGTTCCTTTTATGAGTTATTACTGTCAGGTCTATCCTATATTAATATGAAAAATGTGATAAAAACAATTTAATCTTCAAATATTAGCAAACCAACAATGTAATGGAAATATTTCCAGTATCAGTCTGTTCCACATCGGTGTCCTTCTTAATGAACTCAAGTAGCAGCCGACGACTGTCTTGCACGTGACAATTTCTTCTGATAGCATGTTATGTTTTGGTGTGGTGTGTTCATTTGTTTTGAGCACAGAAACCCTCCAAACCTGCACCAACAGTACGGTTATTACTGAAAATACGTTTAAATATAATACACAAATCATTTTTAAAGCATCACATTTTTATTTAATTCATTAAAAAAAATTACAAAAAAGTTCCCTTGTAAATTGTTTTTCCACTTGTCTGGTTTTCATTTCATACATTACATACATTGTCTTCAATGTTCAAAAGTGTAACCCGAAAATATGGATCACTGTATGTGATTAAGTTATAAAGCAGACAAACAAAAACAAAAACAAAAAAAACAACAACAATTCAGCTTAAGACATACTGGATTACCCGTATATTTTTGGAAGTAAAAGAAAACACATTCAAGTACTTTACACATGATTTAGCTCCCACATTTGCATATACAATACACAACTTAGATACACAGTTTGATTGAATGCGTTTATATGTGTGTTATTTGTCTTGGTTTCAGAAACCTGGATGAGGCCCTATTTTCACTTTGATGAACCTAGAGATAAAAGCTGGAGTACTCCCATAGAAACCAGGATACTGTTGCATGTAAACACCTTATTCTGGCTTCTGAACAGAGTGGCTGAGATGGTGAGAAATCAAGAGCAACAGACAGATCAGAGACCTGGATACTGTACTAATCATGTATACTGGGTAATAACTAACCAGGTTTATCCCAAATATGAGCAAAAACAGGACTAACAACCAGGACTCTCTTGTGCAGGTAAACACACTTGCTGTTGCAAAGTATCAGTGCAGAAATTACAATTGATCAGGAGCTTTTCTGGCACTGTGATTTGTCTATAATAAGGCAAGCAAATAAAGACACATCACAGAAAAATTAAACAACTGAAATGAATATTAAAATAATGTTTAATTAAGTGAGACACTGAGAAGCCCGAAAGAAATAACCCACTTGAATGGAAATAAATACATAATCGGAGCCTTCACTACTGATGATTTAGAAGACCCCTCTGACAATATTTAGTCATTTATTAATTATTATCATTGGAAGTAGTGACGTAGTGGAGAAACACTTGAGTAGTATTGTGTTGTGAGTGTCTTCTGATGATAAAACAACATAGAAAGGTGACTTATTTAAATTGTTGTTTGTTTTAAAATAACCTTCTTTGCATAACAATAAATTCACATTATTAATCAACCGGTGCGGTCTACAGTCAGTAGAGTCAGAGTGCAAGTCAGCAGATGGCGAAACTATTTCTCATGTGCAAATGTACGGCAATTCATTTAGTGAACTTCCATAAATGGTCTTAACTCACGCGATTGCATTAACCTGTGACTCATACTTCATTACTTGATCATGGGGTTAATGCCAGACTGTCTAAAACAGAAACTATGTATGAAAGCGCTTCCTAATTCTAATAAAGAGGTTTAATGTGCGATCAGATGGCTCTTCAAGCACGTCTGGTGAATTGTTGTTCAGATGGGCAAACTTTGTTACAGATACGCGGCTTCAAACGTTGACTTTATCCTGAAAGAAAGAGAAGAGAGAATTACAGACTGCCACAGATCTCATGAGTAACTCAGAATAAAACTGGACTTGTGGCTTAAAACATCATTACAATGTAAGGGTGCAGATGTACAGTACAGATGTAGTTCCGTTTTAACTCATTTGTTTTAACTGCATGGTTCCTTGGTGTGTGGATAACATAAATCAAATTGTACAGCAATATATACAAATATATTCAAGTAGTAACTGGCTGCAGTATTTATTCAGCAGGATACATTAACAGTAGATATAAATACAATTTCTAAAGTAGCAGCATACACCTGGTCAATTTCAGTTTTAAAAATGATAAAAAATACAAGTTAAGAGGGCATTCAAACTAAAAAAAAAAAACAGTCATTGTTGGGGGCATGTTTCTGGTACTGGTGGAGTTACAAGAAATATGAATCAGGAAATCCAGCTTCACCAATACATGAGTAAGGCTTCTCAGTCACCAGAACAAACAGTGCACAGGTTTTATATTACCATAAGACCAGAATTTGCAACTCTAGAAAGTTACGGCGATAACCATTGGATCTATGTAAATGTGAGGTGAACAGTAAAAATATCATCTCATAAAGTATTCTACAAAAAAATGTGTGCAAAGTCCAGCCAGGTTTAATGTTTTTCCGCTGACAATCCTGTGTTTCCTTCGCCAGACTGGAGTAATGTGCATCTGAAGAAGCTAAAGTTTAATTTAATCACAAGATTAGACTAGTGCGATTTGCAAACTATCTAGGACAAGAGTTTGTTTACAGTATTAAAACAACAATAGGCTACCCTGCTATTTCCTGTAAAGTTAAGGTAGTACAATCTAGCCAAATCTGTCTGTTGCAGCAGGTTAAACAAGTCCAGTGGTGTTTTCTAAGACTAAAACTGACAGCGCCGCATCAGCAATGCATAAGGACATTCAAAGTCTAGTCAGGCGTGGTGGTTTGGAAGAGGAAGAACTTTGACTGAATAATGATTTCTTGTAAAGGGAGGTAGGGTAATGAAAAAGAAAACGAAACTTACATGACGAGTAGTGCAGTGCGTGACTAAAAAAACACCTCCAATTATGATCTCAATCAAAGATAAAAGACACCAAATTGCTGATCTAAATCTTCTTCTACCCTTATATTGTGGATGAAACGTGAACTGTGATACATCAATCAAATTCATTCATTTCTATGGCTGAATTTTCAATCAATTTCCAGTATTTTATTACATTGTTATCATAAGTTGACTACTTTTATAAACGGTTATATTGCACTTAATGTCTGTGGTTGCACAGTGTGAAAGGGTGCAAAGGGCTGGAGCAGTGGTTAAAAACCTTGACCTTTGCAACAATTAATAGCTAATCCCATCAGAAACATTTCATGTCTCCTTTACTATGTTGTAGTTTTCCAGCTGTCCTTTAAAATAATAATAATAAAAAAAAGCTTCTTACCCATCCACCTTGCTCAGTCACCCATGTGCGCACACGTCTGTTGAG